ATTTATAAAATAAGTTCAGGGGGTAATAGAACCTTCGTATAGTATATGTTTGAAATTTCGAACATGAATTGAGGGATACTTATGCATTTTCCCGCTCTAATATGATAACTTTGAGCTGGTAAATAGAGCTATAATTTAACAAATTTATATAAAAAATATTTTGCTTATAATATCAACAAATTAAAAAGGAACACAAAGTTGTTGGTGGAATTAAATATGGTCGAGGATGGCCATGGAAGGATAATGTGGTGCCAATATCTACCCCAGCTTGGTTAGTTCAGTAAGGATGATAAGTTTTTTGAGAATTTTTTATAAGGCACAATTAACACATTCATACTTTCATTTGTTAGTATGGATCCCTTTTCATTTTTAGATAACAAGTTGTATACTCTTATTCTTTATAAAATATTTCAATTGTGATTTGTAATAGTTGAAATAAGTTCGAAGTTTAATAAAATTTGAGGAAATAATTCATCAATTAACACTCATATTTTCGTTCTACCATTTTCATCACATACATACTTCAAAGATATATCATTTTATAATATCAATTCTAATTAGCATGAGAACACGTGCAAGAGACACGTGTTCAACAACTAATATTTCTAAAAGTGGGAACAAATAAATTAAAATATCAAAGTCATATTTTATTTGGCTATTTAAAGGTAATTTTATTTTTATTCATAATATAGTGGTGTTCTTATTATAATACTATTATTGATTATTTTCTTTTAGGGGGTAAATTGTATGGTATGATAAAAAAATATTTTCAGAGATGATGATTCTTTTATCATTAGAAAACTTATATTAGATTCTTTATACTTGTACACTCGGGTTAGAAGTTTTGTGTTCTATGAGTTTCTTTAATCATGTTTGTAATTATTTTAAACTATTGATATATTTTTATAATTTTGTTTTACTATGTTATTATATAATATTATAGAGAAAATGATCATATACCCCCTCAACGTATAACTGGATTTCCAACTACACACTTAAACTTTACGAGAGTCAGAACACCCACCCGAAACTATTTAAAAATGAAATAATTATACCCTTAAAAAAGTCATAACCAGATCTATGGTGGCATGTGCATTTCACGTGTTTGACACGGCATCAAATTATTATTTTTTTTCACCATCACTAGAACACCATAAGTCCATTATTGGGTCTTTGAGGAAGAAATGTGAATAATAATTTCATAGCTCGTTCACAAATATTCGAATTTTGCTCATTTGATACCTAAAATTAACCTTAAAAAAGTGGGGGGGGGGGGGTAGAAGACGAATATGACGAATATTGTCATTAATGATGGTCAACGAAGATAAACAATCCTCTCAAGGAAGATGAGGAGGAGCAACCTATGACGTCTGCCACATCATCATCTATGGCGACAACAATTTCAAATAGGGAGAGAGATTCTATGATATTTGATGGATTAACAAGATTAGTAGCGAAAATTTTGTAGATATAATTGATTGATTAAGATTTGATATTCTATTAGTAAGAAAATATTTTTTCGGTTGGTCCAATCGGATTCAAAATAAACCTATATTGATTTTTCTCAAATTAGATCCAAAGTATCCTGAGGTAATATAAATATATGTAAATTTATCTCAATTGATTTTGGATGATTGGTATTGCAAGAGTTGTATATGAGTTCGAAAATTTATTTTGAATTAGAAATAGTGAATCTGGTGAAGATATTGATGGCAACAAGACATAGATATGAAAGATTGAGAGATTTGTTAATAGGGAAAAGGGCTAAAAATACCCCCTAACTTTAATTTATTGGTTGACTTTACCCCATCCGTTAAATTGAAGTTATTTATACCCTCGCCTTTAACAAACTTGTCATTTCTACCCTCCAAATTAACAGTTACCCTAAATTGACCCCAAATCCCAATTTCAATTTAAATTACCCATTTAAAATTGATTTCCTCTTTTAGACCGGACCCAATAAACTAAATAACGTTGGTGAAACTTAAAACTTTCTTCCCAATTTTGTCAAAAACAGAGATTTTGCATAATAATATACAACTCAGTATACATAAACCAACAAAAATGAAAATGCACCATTAGAGGAAATGAATAGCTATTGCCATGGTACAGATCGTTTCTGCATAGATGATACCAAATAAATGAGAGAACTCCATTACATTATTTGGTGCTGTTTTCTTGTACTCCGACAACCCACAACCCTTGAGCGATCCCAATGGTGACAAATAAAACTGAAGAACTTCTTGCAGATGCACATTATCTCCGGGCAACGATGACGATCAAAAAGCAAGAGGCCGAAACCCTTCTGCCTCAATGTTTCACCCCTTCTTCTGCACCATATTTTCTTCAATATTCCCTGCTTTCAATCTTTTAATTTTTCGCCATTGATTTGAACCAAAAGCCCCCAATATTTCAATTTTTTGATCTTGGAAAACCATGTTGGTAATTGGTAGACGACAACATTGTTCAAATCGAGTTGTGTCGATTCGTTGGAATCATAGGAAGAGTAGTAAGAACGGAACGTACCAGTTCATCGGAATCGGAGGAATATTAATAAAAGAACAGAAAGTGAACGAAGAGAGTTATGTTTAATTGAGACGATTCTGGTAACCTTTGTGTGATGATTTTGGTAACCTTTGATGGATCAATAAGAAGTCACTGTTCAAGTTTTTGAGAGGGAAAGAGGAGAGGCTTTGTTGTTATTTGTTTACTATAATGGGTCAGGTTGGACTGAGTTTGGATAATAAATGATATGACAATTTTATTTGAAATTGGGATGATTTTTATTGATCTGAGGCTTTCCCTCTAAAGAAGGATACATATGACAAGTTTTTTTTAACGGTGAGGATATAAATTACTTCTTTTTAACGATAAGGGTAGAGTTAACCAGTAAATCAAAGTTGATGAAGAAGAAAGATAACAAATAAGAAAAATAAATAATTGAAAATGCATATATTTATTGAATGAGATATTAAAAATAAAGTTTTAGTAATAGATTTTGATGCTCACTATCCTAAAGAGAGTGAAATAAACTAACTATGCCAGCTAAGCATTCAGGGAGGTAATTAGTTCAGTTTTAAATAGTACAGAGGGTAATAGGACTCCTGTGAAGTTTAAATAGTGTAGTTGAAAATCCAAATATACATTGAGGTGACATTCAATCATTTTCTCAATATTATAAATTAAAAATTTAAAGATCCATAAGGGGCTTACATCCCACTCAGGGCTTACGTGTTGCCTTATACTAAGGAAATTGTTCAAAAGCTGCTCAAGCATATTAGTAGCCTAAAACAAAAATCACTTATTAATAACTTTTATATAATTGATTTCTTCTAGTTTTCAATTGATAATAATACCATTGTTATTTTAAATTATTTTTCATGAGATATAGTATTACAAATATGTCAAATTTCTTCTAATAATTCCTTCATTTCATGAAAAGTTTACTTTTTATACAAATAGTATTCAATATTTGTTTAAAAAGATACTCCTTATAACCTATTATTATTAAAAATGGAGCCCCTTAAATTTTGGGGTCCAAGACACATGTCTTTTTTTAACACTGTCAAGTCACCCATAAAATTGTCTCGCCTCACACCCTTGATAGACATTTTTCTTGAGGAAGAGAATCCAGGATGAACGCTTTTTTCATTCGCTATGCGCTGACTAGATGCGTACTCGCGTGATCAATCGATGGACGGAGGAATTGCGTAAATGATGAGACCTACAGAATGATTATTATAAAAGGAAGATACTTCTCCTTTTTCTTTAATACAAAGTAATGTAATTTATCTCTAAGAAAATATAAAAGTTCAACAAATGAAAGAGCAATTATGAAAAAAATAATAATACAAACTTATCTCTTCAATTTTAAACAATGATTGGTATAAAAAGATGTCTGCCCCACGTTGTCTCTCTCTTTCTTCTTTATCGTTGACATATTTAGGAAACTTTGGTTAAAGCAAAAGCAAAAGTCATTACTATACTCATTTTTTTGTAGCTACTTAAAAAAGAGAAGAAAAAAAAGGTTGAAATTCTTCTTACATCAGTAATCAATGAATCTGTAGAAATATCTGGAAATCTACTGATTCAAGAAGGAACACGTTTATTTTGGTTGAAAGAGGACATCGATTGGCTCCAGATAGAAATGAGACACATTCGATCATATGTTGACAACACAAAGGCCAAGGAAGTTGGAGGTGATTCAAGGGTCAAAAACTTATTAAAAGATATTCAAGAATTGGCAGGTGATGTGGAGGATCTCTTAGAACGTATAGAATTTTAATTACGTAATCAATTTTTGTTGTTTGATATAGATTTAGACAATATATAATTATTTGTCATTCAACAAAGAAGACGTTTAGGTATTTGGGTTGTTCATGAATTTCATCATGGCTCTACTAACAAATCTTATACAAAGTAATTATGTGTTAAAATTTGTATAGTTAACATTTTTGACCCTCATAGTTGTTGAATAAATGAATGATACTTAATAATTTTTAAATTTATAGAGATAATAGTAACTCAAATAACTAGTTGTAGTATCACATCTTTACTATTTGATAACAATGTAAAGATGATTATATATTATGTAATATTTCTTTCATAAATATGTAGCAAAATTTTACTTTTTGTTGCTTATTATTGATCTTCATGGTTTGGTCCTATGTCTCAAAACTATCATATTTTATTTAACAATTTGAAAATAATTTTATTAAAGATCGTTTGGGCGCTCGAAGCTTACGCCTTGTACTTAGTAAAACATCCCGTCTTATGCCCCGCCCTCGACAACACTGCAGCGAGTGATTGTCATAGAAAAAAGAAATTTCTCCTTTTTCATTAATGTGCAGCTGCCCCACGTTGTCACTCCCCTTCTTCTTTATAATTTCCTTCTTGACAATTATTAGGAGACTTGGCCGAGGACTCCATCTACCACTAAAAAGCTAAAGCCATCAGTATACTCATTTTTTGGTAGCTACTGAAAAAGAGAGAAAAAAAAAATGGCTGAAATTCTTCTTACATCAGTAATCAATAAATCTGTAGAAATAGCTGGAAATTTACTGATTCAAGAAGGAAAGCGTTTATATTGGTTGAAAGAGGATATCGATTGGCTCCAGAGAGAAATGAGACACATTCGATCTTATGTTGACAACGCAAAGGCCAAGGAAGCTGGAGGTGATTCAAGGGTCAAAAACTTATTGAAAGATATTCAAGAATTGGCAGGTGATGTGGAGGATCTCTTAGATGACTTCCTTCCAAAAATTCAACGATCCAATAAGTTCAATTATTGCCTTAAGACGAGTTCTTTTGCGGATGAGTTTGCTATGGAGATTGAGAAGATAAAGAGAAGGGGTTGTTGACATTGACCGAATAAGGAAAACTTACAACATCATAGATACAGATAACAATAATGATGATTGTGTTTTGCTGGATCGGAGAAGATTATTCCTACATGCTGATGAAACAGAGATCATCGGTTTGGATGATGACTTCAATATGCTACAAGCCAAATTACTCAATCAAGATTTGCATTATGGAGTTGTTTCCATAGTTGGCATGCCCGGTCTGGGGAAAACAACTCTTGCCAAGAAACTTTATAGGCTCATTCGTGATCAATTTGAGTGTTCTGGACTGGTCTACGTTTCACAACAGCCAAGAGCGGGTGAAATCTTACTTGACATTGCCAAACAAATTGGACTGACGGAACAGAAAATTAAGGAAAATTTGGAGGACAACCTGCGATCACTCTTGAAAATAAAAAGGTATGTTATCCTCCTAGATGACATTTGGGATGTTGAAATTTGGGATGATCTGAAACTTGTCCTTCCTGAATGTGACTCAAAAGTCGGCAGTAGAATGATAATCACGTCTCGAAATAGTAATGTAGGCAGATACATAGGAGGGGAATCCTCCCTCCATGCATTGCAACCCCTAGAATCCGAGAAAAGCTTTGAACTCTTTACCAAGAAAATCTTTAATTTTGATGATAATAATAGTTGGGCCAATGCTTCACCTGACTTGGTGAATATTGGTAGAAATATAGCTGGGAGATGTGGAGGTATACCGCTAGCCATAGTGGTGACTGCAGGCATGTTAAGGGCAAGAGAAAGAACAGAACATGCGTGGAACAGAGTACTTGAGAGTATGGGCCATAAAGTTCAAGATGGATGTGCTAAGGTATTGGCTCTCAGTTACAATGATTTACCGATTGCCTCAAGGCCATGTTTCTTGTACTTTAGCCTTTACCCCGAGGACCATGAAATTCGTGCTTTTGATTTGATAAATATGTGGATTGCTGAGAAGTTTATTGTAGTAAATAGTGGTAATAGGCGAGAGGCTGAGGATTTGGCGGAGGACGTCCTAAATGATTTGGTTTCTAGAAACTTGATTCAACTTGCCAAAAGGACATATAATGGAAGAATTTCAAGTTGTCGCATACATGACTTGTTACATAGTTTGTGTGTGGACTTGGCTAAGGAAAGTAACTTCTTTCACACCGCGCATGATGTATTTGGTGATCCCGGCAATGTCGCTAGGCTTCGAAGGATTACATTCTACTCTGACAATGTCATGATTGAGTTCTTCGGTTCTAATCCTAAGCTTGAGAAGCTTCGTGTACTTTTCTGTTTCACAAAAGACCCTTCCATATTTTCTCATATGGCTTGTTTTGACTTCAAATTGTTGCACACATTGGTTGTAGTCATGTCTCAAAGTTTTCAAGCATATGTCACTATCCCAAGCAAATTTGGGAACATGACTTGCTTACGCTATCTGAAATTGGAGGGGAATATTTGTGGAAAACTGCCAAATAGTATTGTCAAGCTCACACGTCTAGAGACCATAGACATTGATCGACGTAGCCTCATTCAACTTCCTTCTGGTGTTTGGGAGTCTAAACATTTGAGACATCTTTGTTATAGAGATTATGGACAAGCATGTAACAGTTGCTTTTCTATAAGCTCATTTTACCCAAACATTTACTCATTGCATCCTAACAATCTACAAACCTTGATGTGGATACCTGATAAATTTTTTGAACCGAGGTTGTTGCACCGATTGATCAATTTAAGAAAACTGGGTATACTGGGAGTGTCCAATTCAACCGTTAAGATATTATCAACATGTCGCCCTGTGCCAAAGGCGCTAAAGGTTCTGAAGCTCAGGTTTTTCAGTGATCCGAGTGAGCAAATAAACTTGTCATCCTATCCAAAAATTGTTAAGTTGCATTTGAATGTTGACAGAACAATAGCCTTGAACTCTGAAGCATTCCCTCCAAATATTATCAAGCTTACTCTTGTCTGCTTTATGGTAGACAGTTGTCTACTGGCAGTGCTTAAGACATTACCCAAATTAAGAAAACTTAAAATGGTCATCTGCAAGTATAATGAAGAAAAGATGGCTCTCTCGGGCGAGGCAAATGGTTATAGCTTTCCGCAACTTGAAGTTTTGCATATTCATAGCCCGAATGGGTTGTCTGAAGTAACATGCACGGATGATGTCAGTATGCCCAAATTGAAAAAGCTGTTACTTACAGGATTCCATTGCGGAATCAGTTTATCGGAACGGCTTAAAAAGCTGAGTAAATGAACATCTCAACAGGTCAGTTTGCTAGTATAACTATTTACGTACAGGGGTGCATCACAGCAACGTGAGTGTAGTAGTGTTGTTTCTTGTTGTAGTTGTTTGTTGGTTGTTCAGATCTGAAAGTGTGAAGCTCATTAGAACACATCTCATGGTGATATTAAATTCACTTTTAAACAATAAAGGCGTGTAATAAGTCATTGTAATAATTAAATCATGTAACTGATTTTTCATGAGAGAAAATTTGTCTTTTTCCTTTGTAAAGACTAAAGTAGTCATTGGTTCCAATTGTAAGATTAAATACTTGAATGCATAATATCAGGATTTTGAACACGATAATCTTACGTAGAAATCGTTAGGGGAACATACTTGATGAGGAAGACATCATCACACACAAAAACGGAAGTGTTAGTCGTAATACCTTCTTTCACAGAGGAGAGGAGCAAGAGAAAGGTAAAGAGGAAGTTTGCGAGATGTTGAAAGTTCTTGATAATGAGCTCAAGGATAAGAAATTCTTTGTAGGTGACAAATTTGGCTTTGCTGATATTGTTGCAAATATGGTAGCACTTTAGGTAGGTGTTTATGAAGAAGCCTCTGGAGTTGTATTAGTGACAAGTCAAAATTTTTTCCTAAAATTTGTGCTTGGAGAGATGAATATATTAATTGTAGCCCAGTCAAAATATCTACCTCCAAGAAGAGATGAGTTGCTACTTTTTTCCAACCCCGTGCTCGTGCTCAAGCTACAACTTCTGCTTCTGCTCCAAAATGAATTATTTAGATTCAATTATACATTAAGATATATGTTTGTGTCACATTTATTAAGTTCATTGAGAATTAATGCCTTTAGAATTCGTATTCTTTGCCTGATGAAACTATTGTAAGCCACATAATAATTTGATGAAATAGTGGGTGACATAACCACATAAGTCATCTTATCGTTTCTTGAGATTAAATATTATTCATCTTAAATATAAGGAACTATTTGAATTATCAGATTATCCATCTGTACAAGTAACTATATTAAAATTGATATTATAATATGTAGCATATGTAAGACTTCATACTAAATGAATTATATATATAACGATTTCTCCCAATCGTTATGAGTAGAACAATAGTGAGATAATTTGGGCCAGAAAGTTTTTCAGTTAGTGACTTAAATTTTCAGACTAAGTCAGCCTTCGATGAAATTTGGGGTATGTGTAATCTAGAGTGATTCGAAAATATGTCGAGCCTTGGATGATACATTTTTGTAGAAAAGACATAATTAAGGAACCCGTAGGGATTCACGGAATCGACGAGCAACATTTGATAGATTGCGAAGAATTTTTGAAATCGAATTTGGCTATAATTCGAGACGTCAAGAGAAGGAGGTATGTTTCTAAAGATGGGATTAAATGTTCAGGAATTTCCGAGTCTCTGAAGTTCTCATATTCCTCTATAGAGGGAGTCAGACCACTATCAGTCCCGCTATAATGGAGTATGAAAACAACTATAGTGGAGTAAGTCCTTTATAGCGAGGTAAAATGAGATTTGATATAGAAACAACCCTAAACCCTCCTATTTTATGAACTTTTCTTCTTTGACTTGGGAGGGACGATTTTCGGATCGTTAGCACTAAATTTGCCATGGAATTCTTCGATAAAGGTAATGTTATTACTCCTCATCCTTGTACATTAATTTTTTAGCCTGAGAATCTAAGATATCGCTCTTAGAGGAGGGTTTTGACATGATTTTATGGTAGGAAAATCCTAAGTTGGAAAGGATGATCATGAAGTGGCATGGGATTAGGATTTACTCATATTTCTATGAATTTCATAGAGGTTGTCAAGGACTAAATAGGGTAAGGATAATATATTTGTGGTAGTTGATAAATTTTATAAAAAGACTCATTTTATCCCATGTAAAAAGATAAATGATGCACTCATGTGGCTGACTTAGCTTGTTTATAACGAAAGTGGTTAAATTACATGGAATATCTAGAACTATAGATAGGGATAGGAATGTCAATTTCATTATTCGGAGAAAGTTTGGGAACTAAATTTCTATTTTATACATCTTGTCACCCACAAACTGATGGGCAAAAAAAAAGTGATTAATCGAAGTTTAGGGAGTATTTTGACCGTTATTCTTTTTATAAGAATGTTGACTTGTTCTGAAGATTACTTACCTATTATGGGATTTTTTTTAATAATAGAACCTTTCACTCTTCTGCTGGTAAGACTGTTCGCAAAAAGTTTTCGTAAGCGCTGAAAATCGATTGCAAGCAAAATAAATAAAAGAAAATTGTGATTTTATTAATGAATCGTTGTGAGTATAATTTCGTTGTTTTCATGATTCTCTCTTCTATGTTTCTCCGTAATTTGAGGGCATTCAGTAGCGTATTCCCCAAATTTTTGGATGATGTAGACCTTGTTGAGATGTTATCAATCTCCGGGACGTCGGAAAGCGCTTCGTCGTTATAAGTCGATCTCCGGGAAGAACTCCGTTGATCACTCCTTCGAAGAACTATTGATGTTGATGTTGCAGCTTTCTCCAATTTGCCGAATGCTTGTTGAAGAGTTTTCATGTATATCCCCTATTTATAGTTGTAGGGAGTGGACAAGGTTGCTTATGATTGGCCAAATGATGTCATTTTGACACTTGGCGCATTGTGATTCGTTCTTGCATTTGACTGGGACTACCACCTCATTTGGACATGTGGCATCACCTTGTTGGTCTTGGATGCCTAGTCATTGTGACACGTGGCATGAGTTTGGGCTTCAAGGTGAAAAGGACCTTGAATTTGAATTTAATAAGATGAACTTATTTATTTGTACAACTCAAATTAATTATTCAGTCCAAATAAACATGGATTTAATCCAAATTTTGTATGAATTTGATTCAATACAATTTATGTGTCTACAAATGCCCCTTACTTCGAGGCTTGTCGACGTAGAGGCTTGCCGAAGTTTGGCGACAAGATTTGAATTAGTCACGAATGTGTTTTCCCTTTTTTTTGAGACTTCTCTGCGTGTAGGTTTGCCGAATTTCGACGACGAAAGTTGAAGTCTTCATGAGAAATGACCACGCCAATATGTTGAGGTCAACCTATACCAGAGTCTTCATGACAATATTTTCAAATTTGTAAGAAGTCATTTGACTTTCGTTTGTTTATCAACTTATTTTCGCCTTGAAGTGTTTCAAGCTCTTGAAGACTTATCACATGACATTTCTTGATAGTGTGGTAATTTCATTTGAGTCAACAGTACGAAAGGACCGCCAATTCAATGAGCAAGAATTGTGTCCACAAGCTTGACTTGGTGATAGAGACCTTGTGGTTTCGACGCAAATTTTAGGCTTTCACTTGTATAGAACACAAGGAAATCAAATTCTCATGACGCGAGTCTTTCTCCTTCGGGCATACTTTTTCATGTAGTTTTCGAGAAAACTTTACCATAATTTGGTTTTTATGGGATTTTCATAATTTGATTCCCATGGAAAATTTTCATAATTTAATTATTATGAAAACTTACCATAATTTGGTTTCTACGGAATTTCCATAATTTGATTCCCATGGAAAATTTCCATAGTTTAATTTTTATGAAAACTTACCATGATTTGGTTTATGTGGAATTTCCATAATTTGATTCCCATTGAAAATTATTATAATTTAATTCTTATGAAAACTTACCATAATTTGGTTTCTATGGAATTTCCAAAATTTGATTCCCATGAAAATTTTTCATAATTTAATTCTTATGAAAATTTACCATAATTTGGTTTCAATGAAATTTCCATAATTTGATTCCCAGGGAAAATTTCCATGATTTAATTACTAAGAAAATTTACCATAATTTTCATTCTTTGTATGAAATAAACTTTCCATCATTATAATTTTCCATAATTTGTAGGAATCAAATTGATGTCTCCCTATTTTGAGATCTATATAAACCCGTATTCGCATTGCCGTATCATCAAGTTCAATTGAGTTCTCTCTCAAGTAAATTCTTCTCTAATTCAGATTTTCGTCACTCCTTTTCATCTCAGCGCGACTTTGGTAGAAAATTCATATCTCATTGTAGGAATATCAAAATCGTGATCCGTTTGATTTTTCTGAAACTATACTTGCAGATCTACAACATATATGAAAATCACGGTCAGACGATTCTCGAATTTACTCAGGAGATTTTATGAACTCAGCCTAAAATTCTGATGAACTGAACGCATCAGCTTTGCGCGACTTCGCGGAAAAATTCATACTTCACTGTAGGAATAACGAAATCACAAGATGTTTGTGGTGTTGGAAAGAAAATTCACAGGGCTACATCATATACGAAAACTACAGTTTTAGATCGCGTATGTGCTGATTCAGTTTTCTATTTGAAATCAGCCTTTACCAGTCGCAAAAAAATTTGAAGTTATCCCTTTACTTTGGACTTGTTCTTAATCTAAACTTTTTCATTTTGTTTTAATTTATTTTTGCAGATATTTGATAAAAAAATTCGACTTTTATTTCACAACATGTTGCACTTCCCCGATCGAGATTCGCTGCATCCTCTTCTTGAAATAGCAAGTGATGACCAACAAAATCCCAATGCAGAAGTTCTACTTCTGGAAGTTCAACCTCCTGCTATCGGCGTCTTCTCCCTTGTTAGTGGGGAACATAATGAATCTTTTCTCCTTAAATAATGGTAAAAAATGGATACGAATGACGTTATGATAATCTTCTCGAGCAAGGCACTAGTATGAAAGTTCCTTTACTGAAGTCTGCAATCCATCATGACGCAGTCTTTCAAATCTTCTCATTCTGATGGAAATTTCAACAATTGGTGTGTTCCCTCTTCTAACTTTGGCAATGTTTGCTACACATCCGGCTACTGGGAATGGGTAGAGGTCATGTTGCCCCGTCACAAGGAGATTTTGAAGCTCATCAAGGTCTATAATGTTGTATATACTTCTTTGTTCACGTACGACTATAACAACAATGTACTCCATGCTTTTTGTGAAATTTGGCACCCATCTAC